GATGGGCGCAGAGGCAAACTTCTGTTTGACTTGGGAGAATGCTTGCTGTGCCACCAGGTGAACATGCCTCTCGTGTTCAGCTATGGACATTTTGAAAAATCAAAATATTGTCAAGGTACACAAACACACAGTGGTTAATGAAATCTTTCAAGAAGTCATTCACCAAGGACAATTGATAGGCATTCCTTAAATCCACTTTTATGAAAATAGTGGCCCCCGTAACAGTTCAAAAGCGGAAGATAGTGGTGGCAGGAGATACTTGTTCTTTAGGGTTATTTTGTTCAGCCCCTGAAAGTAAATGCATAGATGGAGGGACTTGTCCTTTTTCTCCACAAAGAAGAACCCTGCTTGAACTTGGAAGAACGGATTATTCCAGCTGTCAGAGAATCAGTGATGTAGGCTTACAAAGACTGTACGGGCGACTGGTGGGGAGTGGTGCCCCAAGAGCAGATCAATTCCACAGTCATATGGTCTCTGCGGAGGAAGTGAGAGAGCCAAGTCCTTGCTAAACACTTCAGCTAGGTCATGGTAAACTGTAGGAACAGAGGACAAATCAAAAATTACATGACTGCCTGAAAGGGAGAGCTGAATGGCCTTAGTGCGATGGGTGATTTGTGTGAGCTTAGTGCTGTTTTAAGGCAGAAACCTGTAGAGGTTCAGTAAGAGGTGTCAATGGGAGTTTGAATTTCCTATTGAGTGTTTGATCAATGAAAATTATTTAATTGATCAAACACTTGATTGATCAAACACTCGAATCAATGAGAGCATTACACTGGTGAGTATGGGTGCTGAGTATGAGTTTTGCAGAACACTGATGACCAAGTAGGGAGGCGTCTGTAATTGTGCCCACCAGCACCCCTACGTTTACCGACATCTCCATTCTTTGAGATTTCAGTACTGGAAAAATGTGCTCAAATTTCCCAGCTTTGGTTCAAACGCCAGCAGCTGCATTTTGTATCATCTGTAAACCTCTAAAACTGAAGAGTGTTACAATAATAAATGTGCAAAGACACAAATGCATGGACAAGAACCTCTGCAGTGTCAAGTGATAAAACTTGTTTGATATTGATGTTCCTAAGGTGATAAAAGGCAGTCCTTGTTGTCTCTTTTACATGAGACTTGAAGGAGAGCTCCGAGTCAAACCACACATCCAAGTCCCTGCAATTTATGACAATGTCATCAATTTTTGTGATCGATTGACCACCAAATCTGTCTTATCAGTATTAAGAAACAGGAAATTATCAGATAACAAGTCCTTAATTGCAAATGGACAAATTTCTAATTTAGACAAATCAGCATAGTTTCCAATGTTTAAGGAACATAAAGCTGCAGGTGATCAGCGTAACAATGAAAGGTTACTAAAACGTAGAAGAAGACAAAGAGGCAGCAGATACGAAGAAAACAGCAATGGGCCAAGTAGGACCCTTCAGGGAACCAATGCCTCACAGCACAGGTCTCAGAGAGATCAAATTTAAAAACTAACAGTCTGAGATCTCCCACACAGGTAGAATCTCAACCATGATAATACATTTGTACTAACACACATGGAGATTAAGGCATCTAATGACTTCAGCGGACAATTCCCGCTTCAAATCCTCATTGAGGCTGTTGAGAAAAGCCCTTCAGAGGGCATTCTCCTCCCCACTCTGGATCGTTCTGTCAGGAATGCAAAGGCAGGACTTCCTATCTACTTGTATACCTTCCTATGCTCCTATGACTAACACAACACTTTCACAATGTTAACTAGGCACTGACAGAGTTTCTCACAATGATCCAGCATCGACTGAAACTCAGCTCCTCTGTTAAGTCGCTGCCCTTACAAGGCTGATCAGCTGCAGGTGACCCCATGGCGGGAATAACTCGCCAGGCCTGGTGTCACAGGAAAACCCGGACACACACGCCAACAAGTAAAGGTAGAAATGAGTGACCGGGAGAGAACAACAACAAAACACAACATAGACATGGCAGGTCAACTGGCACGGACTGCGGACCATGACAGTCACATCATCGTCCTAGCGTCTGTTCATAATCTTTTAGCCTTGACCTCACTGAAGTTTTCATTGAGTCCAAGGAAAGGTAGGTAGTGAAGTGAGGTACATTTTTAAAAAACTGTTACACTATTAAGCATTCATAAGGTATTAGTAAGTGCAGTAAGTTAATTCATCATTTATAAAGCATTACTCCTCCTTGGTATTTTTTTTTAAAATACAGATGTTTATTCTTGATTGATAAACTCTTGGTATAATTTAGAAAGTCTAAATAGGTGATTAGTAAAGTATTCAGATGCACATTTATAGATGTAATGAGTAAAATATAAGCTCATTGTGATTGTATTAATAGAGATTTTAGAAATACTTATTTCATAGTGTAATTCACAGTTAATTCAGGCAGTTGTAAGTTAAATATTTTGTGTGATCATCTAAAATGAGGACTATTTGTGCCTTGTAAAGGATTTATAAATGAAAATGAAAGTACTCAAAATTCAAACAAGTATAGTATCTTTACAATAGAAAACTGACATAGACAAAGCACAAAGAGATGCAAAACATACAAATAATTATTGCCAGATGCAAACATAACCCACCTGAAGTTTGCAGAATACTGATATTAAGGTAGTTAAAATATGAATAAGGTAATCACAATTCAATAAATCATTACATATCTGGTAATCCAGGAAATTGTCTCTGGTATGTTTAAGAGTTTGTAATTTTCTTTAATTCATTCCTGAGGTTCAATTCTTCCCTTGTTTGTAAGTCAGTTGGCTAGCTTTACTCAGACAAGTGAGCGTCCAGTCAGGTGCAGTTAATTTAGGTCAAAACTGTAGAATGAAATAGTAATCTGGGTATCTGGTGCTGTGCTTTCAGAGATGATTTCAGCTGAAATGAAAGAAGTACTGGATGGTCTCCTTCTTCTCATTCAGTGAAAACTCAGAGGAGCTCCTCGGTGTAAGGAAAGAGAAAGAGAAAGAGATGGTTCTACATCATCATCAAGTATAATCAAAAATTAATGGGCATTTCTATTAAAACCCCCAGCCTGTAAAAGCCTGCATTAAATCAGTAAATCTCAATATTATTGACCATAATAAAAATAAAATCTAAATGTTCAAAATATATTTTTGATACAGGAATTCTTGCACAGTATTCTACCTTTTTAAATCCTCACCGACTTCTTTTTTCTGTTTCTTTTTTATATATTATATTTTAAATGCAGAGTGAAGGTGTTGACCAAAATGAGGCCAAGACTACAATAATGTTTAAAATATGCCAACAGATTTGAATAACAAGGCAAAAGGCTTTTAGTATAAATCCATTATATACAACACCAAGCATGTATTACTTATACAACTTCATAGTTAGT